ACATGTTTTATGCAGGACTCAGAGGCAAAGGTGACGAGCTGATGTTTGGCAGAAGAGAACTCTGCACAGGCTGGCCAGACAGAAGGAGCCAGGGGAAAGGTGGATTCAGCCAAAAGACTCCTCAAACTTACCTTTCTCCTCTCCCTGGGGACACAGCCCTGCCAGAGGATAGGCTCAGCCAGGTAGCGCCTTTCTTTAAGAACTGGGTCTGCTGCAGATCCAAAGCCTCAAATACACACATCATACTTAAAAAAAAAATTCACCTTGGTGACCCTGCAGCACTGCTCTGCACATGCTGTGCTGGGAGAAGCAGGTCCGTCCCAGAAGCCCAAGTACCCTTTGCCCAGCTGCTTGGAACGTTCAGCACCATGTGAAATGGGTCTTATTTTAAAAAAAATAAATATCTGTTGGTCTCTGCCAGTGCAGAGAAATGCCCTAACCTCTAAACAAGCCTGCAACAGTAGGGCACACCTTTCTCCAGTCTCTCATATCCCCCCTGTTCCCATCTCCCCCCCCAACCTAGAGTAGCAGTTAAGTATGCTAGTGCCCTCCCCACAAGTCACCCTGTGACAGCAGTACTGTAGCAGTCTGGCTGTCTAGAGGAAAGTGCCCAGATCTAAAAACTGCACCTTTTTCCCCTCTCCACATTTCTCTTTAAGGCACCCTTACAAAAGAGAGCTCTCTGCATCTTGACTAATGGGCACTAGGAAGTCAGTGATCTCTAAAGCAACATGTGCATGGAGAGGGCAGCAAAGGAGGACACAAACTCAAGCTGACTCTAACAAACAAAACTATCAAAGCAACCAATACTTGGTGCTCAGGGAGGCTGCTGGTATCATGCATTTGCCATGGGAACATTTGGCCTTTCCTTGGAAGTGATGGTCCTTTCCAGCTACCTCCTGTCCACTTGTTTCCAGGCTCTGCTCCCCAAGTAAACGGTGGCTCAAGTTCCTAACCAAGGACCTGTAAACTCTTCTGCATGTAACATTCATCACTGCTTTTCTTTTTTTGAAAGGGGTCAATAAATTACTATGTCCAGCAAGCTCCTTCAAATGTTTCAGAGCCACACATTTCCCACGTAGCATTAGAACTCCCAGTCATCCACCTCCAGCTGTTCCAGGCTAGATACCAATCCAAAAATGCCACTGGGATCCTGTTGCCGTGTACCTTCAAAGTTGGTGATTGGTGTAACTGGGCGCAAGAGTTCAGGAAGTGCTTCAGAAGCACGACGCTTGATCTGGGGCAGGAAGGAAGGTTAAAATTTGGTTTGAGTGAGCCCTTCTTGCGTGCACAGTTGCAACGGCAGTACTAATGCTCAGATGTCACACATGATGCCACAACACGAATTGGGCTAGCTGCAGCACAGCATGCTACCAGCAGAAGTCAGCTGGTTTAACCCATTCTCTTGCTGGCTGGGTTACAGCTGCAGGGCCTGGCACTGTGCCCCCAGTGGGGGTTAAACTTCAAATCATTGTAGCCAATTCCCTGCTAATTCAAAAACAGTGCTTAATGACTCTCCGCTTCTGGAAAGACCCACTGGATTAATGCAGTGCCTTACATTTGTGTGCGGGGGTGGGGGGGGTGTTGGGTTTGGTTGGTTGGTTGATCATTAGTACCCTGGCTCCCTCCTTTGCTGATGCCAATTACTAAGTGCAGTCAGCAGGGCTTATTAGAAAAAGTGAAGGGAAAAAGAGAAATTCAGCAAGATTTTTCCAGTTATAACTACTATCTCCAAACACAGATGCCAGCCTACTATTTTAAACTCATCATTTTCAGACTATAGGAGCTTTGCAGAACCTCCCCACCTAAAGGGGACTTTCATAGATGAGCGGTTCTAGAGGCAGGGTCAACAGAAGTGTTCTTCTTCCACCAGAATGGGAGCAGCAAAGCCATAGCACGAGGGCCACCACGGAAAGACTAATGCACTTGACAGGGAGATTAAATGAATCGCTTTACCTGCTTGAAATAAGAATGATTGAGCAGGGTGCTTGCGCTTGGCCTGTATAAGAGAGAATCAAAACAGTGAGTCAACATATGAAAACGAAGTGTGACACGCATAAGTGACATGCTGCCCTTTTAATGCGTTCCTGATGGTCTTGTAACACCTTACAAACACTAAGGAAACTGAGGCACCGAGTGAGGAATGACTTAACCAATGTCCCAAAAAGGGACTGCTGGGATC